TGGAATAGAACAAGAAACCAGAAAACCTATTGAAAAGTGTCAAATTAAAATGCGTAGCAACAATGGCTACAGCTACAATCCTCAACTTGTTATGAAATCAAATTGTATAAGCCGGTTTCGATAGATCGTCTTGCAACTGTATGATTAAGAAAAAATCGTTCGTTCGGAGTTAAACTGCACAATAACGTGATAGTGACACCCCCTTTAGAGGATATAATAGAGAAGGAACGAAAAACAAAAACAGCCATGGCTTTTTTGTTCATGACGATGAAAAATGCTGAAGAATGAGCGTATATATAAACTTGCTGATCAGAACAGTTCATCATTCAGTCTCTCAGCTCGAACATAATGGTCTCGCAACTCAAGTCGATCACGTTCTTCATTATTCTCATTATGACTGTCACCACTTGTGAGTTTTCTTTACGCTGAGCAATTTGAAGATTAAAGCCAACCGAACACTGCAAATCAATTTTGTTTAATATATTTATTGCAGATGTGCAATCAGCACCACCGAATGGTGGTTGGGGAGGATCGTCAGCAGCTGGTTGGAGCAGCTCTCCATCGGGAAGCTTTGGTGGCGCATCCGCAAGTGGACAGGCAGCACGAAACGGGAAAGCTAACAATGAAGAAAGAATGCTTGTGAAGGGCTGGATTACCCTCAATGATCCTCAATGATTCAACCACATCTGTTTGAGAATAGCAAAAATAATCCATAAAATGATAAGACGACAATAAAAATCATTGCAAATACTCTCCCGTCCTCCTTGTGCGTTCAGTACATGCTAAACCTGTACGATTTGTTAAATGAAACATTCTTCAAGTAATTTATGACTGCAGTGATCCGAAAAGAATGTATTAAGCACGTGGCACTTTCGTGTCTGCAATTTCGTGAATTCCGGGCAATCTTATGATTAAAAAACGATCATCAAACTTGATTCCAATCGTAGGATTGAAAGACGGTCGACATTTTGCGCGAAATAATATAAGCTAGATCTCGATCATTCTGAAGCTTCACACAGCCAGTGTATGGTTCTTTTCGCTCTGGAACAGGATAGATGCAAAAAGAAAAGGAATAGTGTATCCGGGTTCCTTCCTATTCATTGCAGGAGGAAAGCACCCGGAATTCAATGTTTTTTGCTCATTTTCTCCAATTATTTCATGTACACCGCCGCGATTTAATTGATACTACATTATAGCATCATTTAATTGATACGATGAGCAATCATGCAAGAGCGATATTACGTCTCCACAAAACATGCATTAACAGATAGTAACAATAATTAACGCAGCAGTATAGCTGTTTCGAGTGCAATGCTATGCGATGTTCAGTCTTTTCGATCTTGATTTTGCGAAATGCTGGCACGATCCGGTTTCCTCAGCACTACTCCTGTCTATCCACACCAACATTGCCAAGTCTTATAAAGACAGTAGGTGAGGACCGAGGACGACAAGGGATATCCAATTTGAAGGCTGACCGGTCGAAACTGGATGCGGAAAGTGCCAATCAGTGATACCCATCATGCTGTTAAAGAAGCGATTATCCAAATGAATATTGAGAGCACAACAAAAAAAATAATTAGGTCACGGCACGATAACTCTACTGCTGGCGTGTTTATGATGATTGATTTTTTATTGCTTCCAATTTACTTGGGCGGATTTATCCTCTGATCAGTAATCAGATTACCCGACATCGTTAAAGCGTCATTCAGTCTTGAATCTGCCACGGACACGAAAGGATACGATACTCGGTTCATCATGAAAATTCGCACGTTTTCAAATGCATTTGTCAATTGTTTTTAATGAGAAATGAGGCAGGATAGACTGATTTTCAGACTGATTTTCACCAAACTACTGACGACGCTTCCTTTGATACAATAAGTATACTTCGTATTTTCGGTTGCGTAGGCGACTAGCATAGAATGAAGCTAGTACCCTTCTTAACCAACTCAACATGCTAATATGGTCGCAGAGATTTTCAGCCGACGCCTTTTCTCTCTAATGGATCTATCAGTTTGGTCACCACCCAAATCTTCCCCCTGGGAAACGCTTCAGTTTGGAAACATGAATGTTCATCCATCATTCATCATCAAATTGATCTCTGACGATCGATCAATTCAACATGCGCCAGTGACGGAACAACAGTCTAGTATTGTCATATATCACAATGGTTTAAAACAGTGAACGGGCTGAATCCATTTTCATGATGCCCATCGTTCGGAATACAACATCACGATATGATTTGCATAACAAATATAACATTTCAATGTTCATTGAGATGAATATCGTTCTTAATTTAGTAATAAAGCATGCGATGCATCATTTTATTGTTCTTGGCAGTTTGATGCTGAAAAGCAGTTGAACACAAAATCAGCAGCGGAAAATTGTGCTATACACGGTGATCGCTTATACTTTCCCTGGTACACAGTGATACAGCAAGGCTATCGAGTGTAACGATCATCTATTTATTATACCATCGGAAGAGACTCACAATCCCATTCAAATGCGCTCATCAAGTGATCTCGGAAGATCCTCCGAAAATGCCTGCAGGACAAGTACTCCAGCCAACGCCTGGTGGTCCTCCTCAGCCACATTTCGACGGATAACAATTCGCACCTGCAAAGGATCATTTGCACTGATCAATAATGTATTGGAAGAGTTGAGTTAACCTTCACATTCAACCTACTGGACTTCTTTGCACACGATCATTTCGTGGTATGGGAGGAAATTCGCTACAAAATGTGGGAAGTGATGAACTGAGGCAACTCTCATAACAATATTATTGGTTGTCTTTAAGGATCCCAAATAATGATTGGAAAGGAAATCTCACCCAGCTGGAATCGATCATTCCTCCAAGCTCAATACTGACTCTATTAAGACAGTGAATTGAATTTATTCATTTGGTGAACGCATCCAAATGTGTGCTACGATGCAGAACATTGAGGCGTATTGAAGATTATATACTTTGTCAGTGATGTCAGTAAAGTGATCGCAAAATGCCCTCCAGGGCTATTTATATATGCACTTGGAAGCGACTGTACATGAGAAACATCTCCTTGCTTCAGTTTGCTGTCGTTCAATTGGACGCAATGACAACCGCATGATTGCTGGTCGTTAACAGCAATTATCTGGTGATTATGCCAACTTATAATATTGGAAAAACTCCGAAACTCTGACGGTGTAATTAGGCATAGCTGAAAACTTTGGCATTTTTCATCCGTCTGTGAAGAAGAATAATTTTCGATATAGGCCTATGTAAAATTGTTTGAAACAGTCACCCAAACAGTCATCACCATACCATTATAAACAAAAAATTGTCTAGCCAATAAAAACCTTCTAGATCTTGCTTCTTGCTGCAACTCTGAACGATTGCAGGTTCTCATTATTCACCAACTGATGCGATGAAAAATACTGAAGGATGAGCGTATATATACCTGCTGATCGGAACGATTCATCATCAAGTCGCTCGGAGCAAACAGAATGGTCTCGCAACTCAAGTCGATCATGTTCTTCGTTCTTCTCATTATGACTGCTATCATTTGTTAGTTTTCCTTACGTTGTTTTAATTTGAAAATTAAAGCGGTCCGCGCACTGAAACTCATTTTTGTTGGATACGTTTTGCAGATGTCCAATCGGCCCCATCAAACGGCGGTTCGGGAAGCTTTGGAGGATCATCCGCGAGTGGATGGGCCAGCGTTGGTGGTGGGAATGGTGGAAATAATGATGGAATGCGCCTGCAGGGCTGGATTACTCCCGTTGACCCATGATTCAACTACATCTGCTTGCGAATAGCAAAATAATCTATAATATGATATAAGGACAATAAAGTTCATTGCAAATAGTCTCCTGTCCTCGTCATGCGTTTAGTACATGTTACATCTGCACGATTTGTTAAATGGAACGTTCTTCGAGCAATTATGACTCCATTGATCCGAACAGAACGTCTTAGGCACGTGGCACTTTCGTACTCACTCAATCACCATACTACTGCGAGCAAAAAACTGTCCCGACAGTCAAAATCCTCCAGAAATTGCTTCATTCTGCTGCATCTCTGATCGCTTGCGGGTTTCTCTTTCATACCAACGGAAATTGGCGTTCGAGCAGAAACTGCCACGCTCAAGATGGGAAATTAACCTCTATGGTACATCGCCTAAACTTTGCTGTGTTGATATCGTCGTGCTCTTTGGAGTGACTCATTGTCGTTGTGAAGTTGGCTCCGTCACCGGATGCATGGGTGTTGTCATCATGAGCTGATTGGTGTAGTTTCTCCCACAATAGCTGTGGTGGATCATCCACAAGCAGTTAGGGAGCAAAGGACGAGAAACATAGAATATCCAACAGCAGTAGTGATTATGAAGATTCAGATTGGTTTTCTCAATTCAATTATTATTATAAGTTAGCAGGTATGCGACCTTGCATTAACTGAATGTTTGTGACTGATTTTTTCAATGGGCTGATTTTTGTCAGATGCGAAGTGTGACTCCATCAATCAGAGATTAAGCGTTGGTGTCAAGAAATGGCTGCAGTACTTACTCAAGTGAAATATTTGGTGGATCATCGAGCAGTGGATGGGCAATAATAGGCGTAAAAATACAGCACCTGACAACGACGGCAATCATCATGAAGGTGCAAACAAGTGAAAATCTCCCGTGTCTACACGGAGAATTAACTTCCACTGCAGTTTCTGTGAATCGTACTATGTTGAAACAGATATGTTTTAGGCAAGGATTTGTTGCACATGTGCAACATGCTGAAACATATCACCAGAGGCCATGATAGGTGTTCCGGTTACTCATCCGTAACTACTTACCCAACAAGATAAGTGAAACTCGGGTTGTTCAGCAATGATGGTCATCACGGTGTAGCAAAACTACTAAATCTAAAGGGCTGCATCACTTTCCATGAAAGAATTTCGTTTTCTGCTTGCTCTTCGTAAAAAGCTTGACAATAAAGTTGAATGCAAACGTTTTCATGCAAATTGGTCATCGGTTGCACAAATCCAAAGTCATATACAAGTTTAAACCATCAATGTTCTTCTAATGAACCATACGCTGCTATCGATGTCATTATTGAAAACACTCCGGTTCTGTGGTGACTATAGATCGACTAAGCAGTCAGAAATGTTACGACGATATTCAACATTTCGGCATGACGCCATCCTCAGGAACATCTTTTGAATCACGGATTTTAGAAGCAAAGACTGAAGAAGACACGACATTACAAGCGCAGATTCTAAGAAAACTGATTGTTTGTATCGTTCTCTTGACTGACGTGAGTAACGTTCACATTCGATGGCTCAAGACTGGTTGCACCGATAACTTGATTATCTACTTCTCAAATCAATCAGTGATGGCAGCCAAAATCTTTAAAATCGAAGAACAACCCAACAAATAGCTTTTTTTCGTGGTTTTTTAATGATAAGTCTCCAGGACAGATATCGATAACAATCGAGTTCACCATAACGTAATTCAAGAAGATTTTTACGTATTGAACAGATCAAATAAAATCATCGAGCACTTATCCACCCCGTGGATCAGAATTTTAGTACTTCGCCAATTTAGTATTCTGCGTATAAGAATTTAGTTTATTGAAAACATTTCAGAATTTTAGTAGGCTGAAATCTTCTTGTTGAATTCAGCACTAATATCCCGCGAATTTTCAGATATTATGCTTCGAAT